TTGCTTCAAGTTTATTTCTTATCACTAAGTTAGAAAATTGAGCTTTAGTAATGGTTCATTCCTAAATTTTCCCCCAGTAGAAGCCATTTTTAAAGAAATATTTTGAACCCATTTTTAGATCAAGTATTGAGATTATTTCACATTCCATGTTGTACTAGGGAGAACGAGGAAATCCTGGGGAAAGAGGAGAACCAGGAATAACTGGACTCCCTGGTGAGAAGGGAATGGCTGGAGGACATGGTCCTGATGGTCCAAAAGTAAGTACTGAAGTGATCTCATATTTTAAAATGCTCTGAAATAACTGTACAATAAACACATGCTGGTACTAGAACCCATTTCTCTTGTTTTTGCAAAGTAATTTGACTATATCATTTTCTTCTTCAACAAATATTTAATGAGCATCTAGTAGGCTTTTTTCTTACAACTAAAAAGTTAGCTAAAAAGAAAACTCTCTTCTTTGTGATGGGGATTATGGTTTAAGTCCACATGGTGATACACTCCCATATACAAACACATTCCTGTTTATGTTAATTTTATTAATGGCTACCTTGAATAAGCAGAAGCAAGAAATAGAAAATTGCATAATTTGTTAGGAGGTTTTCCTAATCATATGCTCCATTTTCCTTATCTCAGTTCCACAATCCTGCTTACTGCATATATGAAAATACGTAGGCACAAATCAGTACCCTTTTCTTTTGAGAACCATTTTGTGATGGGTAGAAGACAATGTGGCCCACTTCAATATAAACAGTTGAAGTAGAATTTTTCATGATCATATAATATGAGATCTCTTATCATCTTCCTGGTCCAGAGTGATTGATAAGGTCTACTTAAATTTAATCACTAAATTATCCTGGAAACCAGCTTAATATCACAGATTCATTAAAGACAGAATGAAACATTTCTTTAAATGTAATGTCTTCTTTCTTTATTAGTATCTACTAGGATGGTTTTTCATCTTTCCAACACATGGGAAAAAAAGCACCTCTAATCATTTTTATTTGAAGTAGTGGTCAGTTTTCTCTAAAGAGAAAAGTTGAAAACAAAGCAATAGTCAAAAAACAAATCTGATTTTATTTCTAAAAGATCAACTCAGAGATAACTTTCCCAAATGAAAAAATGAGCATTTAATCAAAATATATGAAATTGCTGACATTCAACTCTTTTTGACCCACTAAAACAGCAGTTTTATGTAGTTCAATCTTAATATATCATTATGGTCACTTAATGTTTGTTCATTTTAGGGCAGTCCCGGTCCATCTGGGACCCCTGGAGATACAGGCCCACCAGGTCTTCAAGGTATGCCTGGAGAAAGAGGAATTGCAGGAACTCCTGGCCCCAAGGGTGACAGAGTAAGTCTGATTTCTTTTTTCAGTTCGTTTATTTAGACTTTCTACTGATAATGATTTCCTGAGCTGGCTTTTATTTCTACCATCCTAAGCCACAAGTCAATAATTGATTAATTCTTTTAATAAATATTTATTGAGGAAATGCACAGTGTCTGACACTGTTCTAGACTCAAGAGGATACAGCCAACGACATGGCAATTATGACTTCGCCCTCATGAAGCTTCCATGTAAGTGCGGGAAAGAGACAATTAGATGAATAAATGGTACTTCGTGTGTCTTCCCAGGGTGGCATAGGAGAGAAAGGTGCTGAAGGCACAGCTGGAAACGATGGTGCTAGAGTAAGTCAAAGCATTTCTTTTTTAGCTGGGCTGGGAACCAACATTACATTATCCCATGAATTTGCATGAACTTTTCAAAATAACATGAATCACATTTTCTTGGTAGTGAGGATATGGAGAATGATGACCTTTGAGATTTGATGTTGATCCACCATGGATGCTCATTTGCTTACCCTGAATTAGACAGAGCCAAAAAAATAAAGTCGTTATTGAGAGACCAAAATAAAACACATATTTATTGCCTATGAGATAGGTGCTTTAAGGGGTGGGGTCGCTCTTTATCTTTCTCTATTACCTTTTAATTTCATATTTAATGTTTTTTTTTCTGTTAAAATATTGATCCAATAAACTGGCTTAGGTCTCAATCCAGCATAGGCAAATAGAGCTTTATAGAGTCCCCAAAATTGTTTTAAATATTTCTTGGTATACTGGACGTTTGGGGTGAGAAATTTACCACACAGCGAGTCATCATGAAGGCTTTTATCAATAAAGAGTTTGAATAATGAATGTCAAAAAGATGGTTGACCCAAAATATTGTTTAATGTCATGTCACAAAAAGACATTTAACAAACTTTAGGTCTTCAAAATTAGAATGCATTTACAATTCAAAGGACATCAGACTAGAAGGACAATATTTTCAGACATAAACAATTTTCTCAGGTAGGAATGATTAGTCACAGTGGCTCAAACATCCAACATTTCCTGGACTAGTGCTTGATATTTGATGAAAAATTTCTGTCTCAGTATGACATGCTTTGCTACTAGTTGTCATGTTGTGCCCTGGCAACAGCAGTTGTACCATAAATACAAGGTCACATTGAGACATTGTGAATACATTGGTTATATTAACTTTTGATGAAGAAAATTCAGTGACATGTAGGAAAAGTTTACCTTAATGGTAATTATACATTTTTTATTATTATGAAAAATTAAATTAAGTTTGAAACACTTAGCAAATTATAAACAAAAAATATCTCTTGTCTTTCAGTTAAATCTAATATCTGATTTCAAAAATGGTCTAAGTAAATCTGGTATATTTTTTGTACTTTGTAACATGAATGTTCTGGAGTGCGTAGTAAGTAATGCAGTACTGTCTGAAGGAGTGATGCATTGACAGTTTATTTGAAGGGGAAATCCGAGATACTTATCTACTGTGTCTATGAACTAACTTTGAAAATGCAGCATAACCAGATCAGGGTATAAGCAACGACTGCTTTATTTTTAAAGAGGGCAATACCTTGTTCAAGAAAGAAACAGAACAGAGTATTTACTGTAATCTTATAATAAGGGAAAAAA